GTCCTCCGGGGTCCCGGGGGTCCCGGGGCAGGGACACCCACCTGGGCACGCAGCAGGGCGTAGTTCCACAGCGGCACGTGGGCATTCCGCTTCTGGGGACGGAAGAGCCCGTCCACGGACCTGCGGGGACACAGGGGGGACAAGGCCACTGTCACCACTGCCAGAGCCACGTGTCACCGCACAACGGGAACACAATGGGGGCAGAGTGCCAGGGGTGACACCGGCTGGGCACACAGTGCCACAGGGATGCACCCGGGGACACAGCACCACGGAGACCCCAGGACCTGTGCCACTCCACAGGGGACCCAGTGTCATGGGGACCGTGGGGTCTGGGCCAGCCCACTGGCATCACAAGAGACCCCAAAACCTCTGTCACCCCTTGGGAACCCCAGCCCCACGTCACCACCTTGCTGCCTTGCAGTGCCCCAGAGTCTGGGCTGCCCAGTGCCCCCCCATGTTCTCCTGTGTCCCGCAGGATCCCTGAGCTTCGGGGGTCCCTGCAGCCCCCCAGGTGCCCACCCGTAGCGGTCAGCACCCATCAGTGCCAGCTGGAAGCCCAGAAGCCCGTAGAGGTAGGAGTGGTTGTTCCAGGAGGTTTTGTCCAGCAGCAGCAGGTACCAGTACGGGCACAGGAACGCGATGCAGCTCAGCCGGTAGCAGCAGCCCAGCATGATGCCCAACGCTCCTGTGGGCACAGAGCCCCTGGTGTACCCCTGTCCCCTCCTGGTGCCTCTCCCCAGCCTCCCTCAGCCCCCCTTCCAGTCCCAGTGTCCATCCCAGTCCCCACCATGGTTCCTGCCCGTATCCCACCTCCATTTCTGCCCCAGTGCCATCCCCTGCCTGTCCCGTTCCTCCCTGGCACCGTCCCAGTCCGTACCCAGGAACATGATGGTGTAGAGCATGTACATCCAGTCCAGGGGCAGGGGCTGCAGGAAGGGCAGCAGCGGGAAGCGACACACGTCCAGCCCGTCCAGGTACCGCTGGTCCAGGTGCCCCAGGCCCCGCTCCTGCGGCACATCCAGGGCCATCAGCAGTCCTGGGGGGATGAGGGGGGGACCCAGCGTCCATGGCTCAGTGGCTGTGTCCCCGTCTGGCCTCAGGGAGCCCCGGCTGTCCGGGCAGGCACTGACCCCTCCACACAGCCAGGCCATTGCCCAATCTTTGCTGCTGTGCTGACGTGGCACGGCTGGACATTGCCGGGGCTCCCCGGACCTCAATTCCTCTCCCTGAGCCCCTGGATTCCCTGAGCCCCTGCAGGCGCAGCTTCCCTGTCCCCCGGAGCCCCTCCATCCCTCCCAGGCCCCTCCATCCCTCCCGGAGCCTCTCGGGACCCCCGGTCCCCAC